TAATTATCTATCAATATAAATAAAAATCCCTTTCAAATTTTTAAATAGTGCTAAAAAACTTGGACAAATCGATGATTTAATCCTTAATTAATAAAATTCGATAAAAAATTCTAAATTAATTGACATTGAAGTCTGTAAACATTTTAACGAGATTATAAATGTTTAATCTGAGTTAAAAGAATCTTTATTTATATAAGCTTTCTTTTGATAATGGTAATTCTATTTTTAGAATTGTTTCTAGGGCAAAGATTTGGTGTTTAAATAGCTTCTCAAACATGAGATAGTCCCCTGCAGATATCTTTAGCACTATCTGAGCAAATTGTCAAGAACATATCACATCAGCTGACTAAGAGATAGTAGATCTTTAATATTTAATTAGAACCAACTGTTCGGAAAAAAGTTATAGAGCATTTCGACTGCACTTGGGCCCAATTTCTAATTTCTTATTTAGTATTTTGTTTGTCCGGCTTCCTGGGTGTAAACAAAAAAGAATTTCCGAATTGTGTCGGAAGGTCAGTTTTGGGCTGAAAGGGTGGCCTGCGGGTGTTGCAGTCGACAGGCTGTTGGCTTTTGGCGAGTCAAATTAAAATTCATTTTATGCGGTCTGAAGAGTGGAAAGCTGAGGCCGTTATGTAAGCCTTTGTTTTGTGGGTGGGAAATGTAATAATTCTCGAAATGACCCTCAAAGCACGTGGAAATAATTACGCAAGCGCTTCCACCGGGCCAGCGGTAAATTCAATTTGGCTCCGGGCTGAAAGGGAAATCTGCAACTGCAGCGAAAATCTCAGGTCATCAATTTGCTATTCGGCATGGCTGCAGCGAAGGATGCGAAGGATCTGGGTATCTGGGCATTCCATTGCTGGGACTAAACTACACGAGACAAATTCCGTTTGGCAAAACATAAATCTGGCAGCCAACACACACAAGACCTGGCCAAAAAAGAAAACCCCTCTCAGAAAGGGGAAAAAACAAACAAACAAACAGCGAAATGAGAGAACAAACAAATAGTCAGAGATACGAGTGCGACTACAGATGCAGATGCAGATACACAGATACGGATGCGGATTGGGATCCAGATACTCCTGCTGCAATCGCATGCAGACATGCTGAAAACATTGGAGGACATGTGTAATTTCTCACGTGCAACTGCGGGGTCTCCCTCCCCCCAGTTTTTGTAGATTCCCCACCCATGCACGCCACCTTTTCACACAATGGAGGGGGTGGGACAGCAGAGGAGGAAGGACGCCCAGCTGAAAACAAACAAAATGCCAAATGAAACAAACAATAAAAATGCTTGTATGTAGCAGCGAGCATAAAAGGAGAGTGCTTAAAAAATAATAGTAAATTACACAGACAAGCACCGGGTACCATGCCACGCCCCCTTCCCGCACTGCCATGCATGACAAGCTTGCGTTATTTTTGGGGCAAGCTGATTTAATCCCCAGGCTGTAGAAGGAGCAAGGACGAAGGACCACAGTTCCAGACGGGGGGCGTTGAAGGGTTAACGGTTTACTCACCTGTCCTGCCCCAAAACGCCGCAGTTTGCAACGCCCCACCTGCATCTGGCTGGCGAGAAGCCATGGGCGGAGCTGGGAGATGGAAATTAGAAGGGATCGCCCGTCGACGGATTGCCCTAACGTTTTCACGGCTGCTCGCCTTTCTCGGCGCATTTAAATTCAAAGGGAATTTTCCACTTTTGCCGGATTATATGCAATTTCCCTCCGACAAACTCAAATTGTTTTACTCGCCATTTGCGATATGAGAATTCATGGCACACACAAGTTTTCCGTTTCTGATTATGCTAAATGAGATGATTTCGCCAAAAGTGATGGGAAGAGTGAGTGGTAGAGGTAAATGCAATTTAGTTGAAGTTGCCCATGACACACGAGTTTTGCATTCTGTTTCAGCCAACTTGCAAAAGCGTCTGGCTCTATTATTATAAAATACTGCAGAGCGTGCTCTTGATTTTTTCCCAGCTTCCTCCGCCCAGCTGCAAATGGAATTTTATATGATAGCAAAACTTTGGGTCTATCCAAAATAAATGATTTATTTCTTCTTCTATTTTTCTTTCCATCTTCCCGCTTTTTTCGATAGAGTCCAGGGCCGGAGACTCCATTCTCGGCTGGGATACAAATGTTTTCATTAAATTCGGTTTGTTTGGTGGTTTCCTTTGTGACCCGCTTTGTTCTCGGTCGCCATTGTGGTGTCCATTGCTACTGCCTTCCCCACGGAAGGCGAACCCACATGAACCTGAACATGGCCCATCCACCCACTTTTGTTGCCAAGCTGGAACACTAAACAATACAGCAAAATTACTTAATTTCATGTTGGTCTAATCAAGTTGCCATTGCCGAGCAGGTAAGCGACGAGTGTGTGGCTGGCACGGAACGTCCTCCGCACAAAGGTGGCCAGGGGAAGGAGCAGCAGGAGAGGGAGGAGCACCAGGCCCATCTGAACAGAGGAGTGTCCTGGGTATGAATGGTGGGTGGCAGCCAGGCTCCCCTCAAATAATTCGCCATTGCCGTGCACCTTTACCATGCCCACACTTTAAATGATTTTTTGTAAATTCCCATTATCTGTTAAAAAAAAATGGATAGTGCAATTTTTATTTGAAATTTTATAATATAAGATTATAATGACTAGTTTACAATAGTTATTGTGTTAAGCCAAAATATTGGTTTATTTTTCATAATATTTTAACATTTAATTAGTTTAAAGTGTACATATGCAGAGGGTCAAACGTAATTTCCGACCTCCAGTTTTTTTTTATAACAGTATTGCTTAGAATATATCATAGATAAAGTTTTTCAATATATGAAATTTATGAATTTATTTCACGTCCATATAAATAGACACACTTTTTATGAGGTTTACTTAGCTATAATTTAGTAATTCCACGAGTGTGCTTGACTGGTTTTTTGGAGCAAATATCCACTTCTCTCAGTGTACTTTGTCCGCTCGTGTGTGAGCCACAACGGAACGTTTAGTGGCCCCACTTATGCGGCAGAGCAAAAAGGAGGGAGGAAGATGGCCGGAGAAGATGCAGACGTGGAATGAAAAGCCAAAAACAACATGAAATAGGTGGACAGCTAAACGCTGAGAAATGGGGCCAAACGCTAGAAGGCATTCAAGATTTTAGGTGGGTCTTTGGCCAGGCTCATGTTAATTTCAAACTGTGTCAATGTCGGCTTCCGTTTCCTGCACACAGACACGGCACGGACACACACACACATATACTAGCAGGACGTAGCCCTTGGCCACTTGAGATGCAAACAGGTAAAAAGGCCACAAATTTAAACATTTGCCTACTCCAACACGCACCGTCGCTCCCACACATACTAGGAAAAGAGAAAGCTGAAAGCAGAAAGCCAGGCCGGAACGAAACATTGGTAAAACGGTCATCTGCAATAAGCATCAGCTGCTGGAACAGCGTGAAAGTGGAACAGCGAGCAGGCACAGGCTGCAGGACACCCGCTGGGTGAAAAGCAGCAGGATGTGGGCCAAAATGGCCAGAATTGCAGAAGGGAGCCTGCTCCTGAGGCGCCTGATAAATTGGCAGCGACATTTCAGCCGAAACTTGACAATTAACAGCTGAAATACATGAGCTGTATATGTCTGCTTTGTGTAATTAAAAGCCTGGAAATTGCTTGGCTTAAATGCAGCTTTTTTTATTTTCTATCCGTTGGGTCGGTTGGTGGTCCACCACCGCCAAGATTGAATGCGCCACCAGAAATTATGCCGCCAAGTGTGCCTGTTATTGCTGCTACTGCAGCAGCTGTTTCGGCTGCCTTCTTTTGGGCCAAATTAACTTTGGCCAAGTTGAGCTCACTGGGCAGCCTATAAGTCTGTGTGTTGCCTGTAAGTGTGAGTGTGTGAGCTTCAGTTTATTGTGTGTGTGTCAAGGCTATGCTAAAAATTTGTCCAGAACATTTGCACATTTTGATTTGTTATGTTGTGGTGCACGGCGAGAAATGGTTTTACTTGGAATGGTGCCATAAAATATTTAGTTGTATTTAGACCGATTTAAATCTTCTTGAATATCCGATTTTCCATGGTTCTATAAGTAAAATAAATAAATAAACTGTTGTCTACTTTTAGGCACCTTGAGAATAGATTTGAAATCCTGTGAGGAAAAAAAATTTATTTATTAAAATCATACCATTTTTTAGCTAAACACTAGAAAATATACTTCTTTTAAATTAATAATTTTTTTTTGTATTTTACCGACGAAATTAAATTATATGGATTATGTTTGCTGGAAGTTCTACCATATCTCGGAAGTCATTTCATCCTGTTTTTGATATACTGCTATGTTTAGGTTTTAAGCATCCGTTTTCACTAAGAGTAAGAGATAGTTATAAACTTTTGATGCGAGCTTAGTAAAAATTCTTATTTCCTACATTAAACCCGAAAGCCATCAGCACATCCCTCAGTGTTTCTTCTGGGGCTGCCCGAGGCATCGTAACCTCTACCGCTGAGCCACCAACATTGTATGCAGCCGCGATAAGAAGCGCCATTTAATTACCCAAATATAAAGTGCAGTCTGCAAGTGCGCCCAGCATGGAGTTTTCTGCGAGTGTCAAATCCCAAAACAAACCCACGAGCAAATATGCCGCATGCTGATGGTCTGATGGTGATGGTAGAGCCGATGCTCTGCCTCTGCTCTGCTCGTAACAGTGCACGTGGTGGCCAAAAAGCACACTACAGGCTACTACCACTACAACTACAGCGCCAGAACACTCGCGTGTGCAGCACTCACTCACACCAGCACGAGTGCACGGGCGTCGGCAGTGGCGTCGGCAGAATCGGCGATAAGATAAAACCCCAGCGATGACATAGAGCACCCAGAGCGCCCAAGTTCTGCCGGCGCCGGCAGCGACGTCGGCGCAGACGGAGGGCGCATATAAAAGGCGGTGGCTCGATGGCAACGAGCATCACAAGACGGCCAACCGCGTAGCCGAGCAGACGAGTCCAGGGTTCCGAAAACCGAAATCCGACAACCGACATCCGACAACCGAAAAACCAGTCAAAAAACAGAGCCTGTTCAGAACCAACGGTAAAGTTAACGTATTTGCATCTGTGAGTGTAAGCCGTACCTGTGTGTTTGTGTTAAGAGTTTCCGACGCTACAAGCATAATAATGGCGCAAAATTTTTCGAAAAACACATTTCAAAAACCGACAAAAGAACAAGCCAAAAGTAACGAGCACAAGTGGGTGGCTCAAAGAGCTGCTGGCTCAACAGGAACCAGAGACCCAGTTTTCTTGAGTGGGCAGAGCAGATAGTTTCGTGAAAGAAAGGTGGTTTTCACGGGGGGCTGGGGGGATGAAACTTTTCCGAAACACAACCAGACTCTCGACAATTTAACAACTGGAAGAATATTCTTACTTCCCCACCTTGGGCCGGGCCCATAATGAATTCATTGAAAGCATGGTCAAAAGTTTTTCGCCAAGGAGAAACGAGAGCCCAAGGATCCTCGTCCTGTCAGTCAGTCTGTTTTTCGGTCATGTTGTTTGGCCAGGCATGCGTCGGTGGCCTTAGGCCGCGCATTGTCTGCTCCTTGGCTCCTCGGTTCCTCGGCGGTTGCAAATTAAATGTAAATTAATGCAAATTACACAAAATTACTGCGAGCCGGACAATGCAACAAAGGCAACAAAGATAGTGGATTGTGGATAGTGGACAGCGGAATATTCCCCGGAGCTGGGCTGCATCAGCAGATAAAGAGCAAACGACGACGCCACTTGCATTGTCTATTATTTTAAATTGGCTGCGCAAATTTACGGCAGCGCAAAAGTAATTAGCGACCGTTGAAAACCATGCCATCGCCAGCGTCGTCCAACTCGAATTGAGAATGAAGCTGGGGCTGTGGGTGAGAATTGGAAGAGCTATTAAGATTGGGTCATTTGGTCATCTGGGATTAAGCAATCCCATTTGTCGTGTATCTGACTGCCAAATAAATAAACTCAATTTGCATGCCGATGCAATCAATGCAAAACAATTACAATTTGTCCACAAATCGACTTGCAAAATCGATCAATCGCGTGTAGCATACTTTTCAGCACTGTTTCACAACTGTCAACTATCCATGAATATTGCTGCCCGTCCCGCATTTTATTCTCCCATAATTTATGAGTTTCCTCCACCTGCCTTCGACCCGCCGGGGATTTGGATTTTGCATAATAAACACATTGCAGGCCAAACAAAAAAGAACCAGTTTTATGCAAATCAAATTGTGTTGATAAACGGCCAGTTGGGGTTGGGCGTTCTCTAATTTGATTGCCCAATAAATTGCGGAATCAAGTCAGCCCATTTCGCACTAAAAGTCCAATTAAAACATTGATGTCTTCATATTGAAATTTATAACTTCGCAGATGGCTATTTATTGCCGGAGAGGCTGTATAAAACGCGTGAATTCAACCATATTTTCATTATTAGAAACTCGTTGTGCGGCATGGCCCGAAAATCGAGAGCAAAACTCAATCTCATGCACAAACTCAAACAGAACCCAATTAACGAGCCTTCGGTGATGTTGGTTAATGTGGTCGCCTCGTGCCACAAAAGCCGACGCAGTTTTGTGGCAAACAGCGCGTGGCTTTTATGCATTGGCGCATGAGTATTGGTAATTAATGGGAGGACGGCGGCATAAATGCCCCTGCCACGGCGACAAACAAAACCGCGGTGGCACACGGCGTATGCGTAATGTGCTCGAACGACGATGACGGAACAGAAAGCTGTGGAAAACTGAGAAACAAATGGCATCGATGAATTCAATTTGCGCGCATATTTAATTATTAATTTCGAGGATAAATAATCCGCCCATCAGGCTATTAAAAGGCTTTAAATTTCCACGGCCATTTTACGTTGCGAGGCGTAAGTGGCAGTGAAATGAGATTCCGCTGCATTGGCTTAAATTACATCTGCCAGCAGATCCGTCGAATTCGCAGAGAGGCTTAAGTCCCATTTCAGTTTGGCTTAAAAACGGTAGATCAAGGAATTTTCAGGCCATGAAAAAACAAGTATTTTTATCTTTTAAAACTTTAAATTATATTGGGCTTAGCAAGTTTAAAAAAATAATAAATCAAATACATAAATAAAATAAAATAAAATAAAATAAATATAAGTTCTGTTCTCTCTTATAAAGTTTGCAAATTATAAATAATGACTTCGGATTTAAAAATGTTTTTTGTCAAAACTTAATCCAGATTTAATTTGTTTTTCTGTATAAAGCATTATATTTCGCAAGCCACTGGGTACGTGCCTGTATTTCTGGTGAAAAAATACTTTCTCCCCATCAAGGACCTCACGCAATTGGCATTGCCATTGGACATGAAAATGAAAAGGGCGCCAAATTGAATTTCACTCTTTTTGTGTACTTTTAGCCATCTGAGGTGTGGATTATTTTTTCAACGTACTCTTTTCACTTAAACCCACTCACGCCCACTCCGATTTCACCTGATGTTAATTGACGCGCACGTAGGAAATTAATGAACTGTGACAGTCTGATTTTTACGCAAATGTGTGTGCATTTAATGCTAAATGAAGTTGACATCGGCTGCCACATTGTTTGCTACCATCGCAAAATCCCAATTATTAATTTATTAATTAAGCAAGCCATTTTCCGCATCCAAATAATTGTCAGAATTAATTTTTATGACAGCGAAATTTGTAAATTTAATTAACATTACCGTGGTGGTTTAAATCCAGTCAGCTTTTGATAAGATTAATCGATCGAACGGGAAGCTTAGTAGGTTTTGGCTAATGAAAAAGTGAATAATAATTATTCCGGGTCAGATTAATTTCAACATTACATTAACTTTGACCTTTTTAATTGCACCAGCTTGCAGCTATTATGGTTTTATGTTAATTAACGTTGTTTATATTGTTGAACTCTTTAAGCCATTTGTTTTATTTAACCCATTTTGTTCAAGCACTCACCTTCATTTTAGATTCCCGATGGCAATAAAGGCAATATTGATAATGTCCCTCGATTTCAATTGGAGTTCTTGGATGAGGCAACCTTGGCTGCTACTGCCAACAAAAGCCCACCTTTCCGCCGTAATAATATAATAATATTAGCTTTAGTAAGAGTCAAATTTACCTGCACTTGACCGAAAGCCTTTCGCTTTACGCCGCTTTGGATCGGATGCCCTATTTCAATTTGCCGCTTAACAGCATATCCAATTGGCGACTCGGAGATATTCCATTTAATTTCATTTCCGAGGCAAACTGCATTTTTGCCAAAAGGAAGTGCTCCGCTTTTAGCCATCAGCCGTGAGCCATCAGGCATCAGCCGTTGGCCATCGGCGCTTTCTTGGCCATCCTGGCATCCTCGTTGCCGTTGTCATGTTCATTGCATTCCACTTTCCACTTGACGTCCTCGCTGCAATTTCCCTCTGTTTTGGAATTATGCTTTGGCTACCTTAGCCGCTCCGAGCAGCGCTGAACAAATGCCTTTTTTGTTGTTTTTTTTTGGAGTGAGGGCTGCCAGCAGTCGGCGTTCCCGAAAGTGAACTAACACAAATATTTGCTGTGTTTATGCGACGAGCACTTTGAATAGTTCACTTAATTCAATTCTTAAGAGATGTAAACAAAAAGAAAAGACCTAGCTAAACCTTTTAATCAGGTCAATCAGTTCTAGGCATCCAAAGAATTCCGTAAGGCTTTAAACTTCCCAGTAAAAGGTGTCTCAAAGTATGCAATAAAATTTTTTAATCCGAAAATCCGATTAGTTCGTGAGTTTTTTTAATTCCTTAAATATTTAGACGTATTTATAGGTGATTCCAAAAACCTAATGACTCTGGTAGACTGCCTAAGTTATTATTTTGTTTAATAAAATAAATCATTGCATACTTTTTGGCAGTCAAACAGCGATTTAGAATCCCTTGAGATTCACGATTTACCATCCATAAACGCAGTAAACATGAGGCTCTCGTTTAGAGGCAGTTAATGCAAACACGAAGGCTTTCAGGCCTTTTAGCGCTGGCAATGGCCTGGTCTGGTCCTTTGATGTTTGCGCCCTGTTTAGTGCGTCTGCAGCCAAGATACATTCCACAATGCATGCATATATAGTTCTGTCTAATTTAGCACATGGCCCTGCCTTGCAACTGGCTTCTGATTGAAGGTTAAATGAGCCATGAGCCCCGCAAACACACACATAGAGCGCAGGGGGTGGGACAGGGGGAAGGGGGACAGTCTGAGCCAAGGCATTTGTGCCTGCATTTGTGTCGCTTTTAGCTCGGCACTCGACCCGCCCCTTTTCCCCCAGGATGCATTTGCATTTCGCGCAGCAGCTCTTTCGCTCTTTTCGCATCCTCAGACGGTCCTGTTTTATTTCCTTTGCCTGAATTAGCTGGCATAAACTAAGCCAGTCAACTAGAGCAAACCCAATCCGTTTCCCTGCTGCTTCTGGTTCTATTCTGCTGGTTTTCGGTTTTAGTTCCTTTCCTTGACTGTTATTTTTACGATCCGACCTCCGGACGTCCCCAACCCCCCAGCACCGCCCCTAATTGAGAGAGAACTTTAAACTTAAACGCAGTCTCGTTTCCGAATACACTTCATTTGCCATTTTATGCCGTTCACGATGCTCGTGTAATTGTGTTTTTCGTTGTCATTGCAGTTCCCCATTTCCGGCTGCAACAGTGGAGAGCCAATAAGAGCGCAATAAAGAATAAAGAAAACAACTAGCGGCAAGGAAAACAAACATAAAACAACACAATAATGTCGATCTCCGATTTCCGCAAAAAGAAGCTGCTTTTCCTGTTCAATGTGTTCTTCGGTGAGTATTTATCAGAATGATGAATGGCCGGGGCCACGCGAAAAATGGAGTTCTTAAGTGCGGACAGCCGTTTTCAGGGGAAATGGCCAGGGTTATGACCACTTCAGGGAGCCATTGCTGGAAAACTTTGATTAGATTGCCCTGCAAGTGGCTGAAAGTTCTTTAATAGGATTAAAAAACACAGCACACGGACACAGCTGGTCCAGGCGATATGGGGCTTCCCATAATAAAATCGTAAAGCGAATGACTGATATTAGCATGCAGTTCCGCTTCCGATTTAATCTTCTCCATCTGGGATGTGCATACAGCGCGTATACGTAATGTGGTGTTCATGCATCGCGTATACGCAAGTGCTCGACATCCACTTACATACGACGAGTGCATTCCGTTCCATGTTTAATGCTCAGAAGTGTTTGCCTGTCAGCAAAGGCAAACAAAACTTGCCAATTTAAAATTGAATTAAACGCAATGCAAATGTCGAAAGGAACAACTTTCGTGGGAAGCGCTCGCAAGTAGGCAACGCTGTGTGTGATAAAGGTTAAGTGCTTTTCAATTATGACTAATTCACCGGTGCGGTTGGCTCATCCCTACAATCCCAGCCGTACATTTTCCTGCTAACTTGGCTCGCTGCCCGCCCTTCGACGGCAGCTGGTCAGGCAATAACAAAAGAGTAGCGCCGAAAAAAAGGTCATAAAACGCAAGCGCCAAACACTTGACACTGGCACTCAAGTGGCCGTTTGCACACCGTTGCAAATGATAATGGAACGCCCGCATGGCCAAAAGCCAAACGTAAACCTGGCAGAGAATGGCACACACAAAAAAAATATAATATAAAATAAAAAACTTGGCTTTGTGTTTTTTAAGTTTGTTTTAGGGTCCATTTTTTACGGTTTTAGTATAATCCTTGCCATAAACTAGGAAATAATTTCTGAAACTACATCCCATCAGTAGGAAATATTTATAAAACGACTTTAGCCCGAATCATTTCGTTTTAAATGGAAATGGGTTAGTAGAACTACAGAAAGAATAACATCGATTTAAATATTAATGAATGTATTGTTAAATAATGAAATTGTATGTAAAATAAATAGTCTTTAAATTATAGGTTAGTAACAAGTAAGGTTATTAGTATAGTGAAAGTTTAATCAACTTAATAGACCATCATTTATTTTTAACTATTCTATTATAAAACTTATTGCAATTTTAGTTCTCTTGAAATCTATAAAATATTTGCAGGATATTCGGTAGAGTATTTTTTTATAATTTCTAAACTTTGGTTTACTTTTTTCTGAGTGTGGTTAGTCCCATGCGATGGTGTCAATCCAATAGTTAGGCTGTGCAATTTTGTTGATGTTCGCACTACCGCCGACCGGAACTGTGTCGCAGCCTGCCAAAAAAAATCCACACACATTGTTCATCACTCTATTCGAATTCTTTTTGGCTATTTTTCGCCTTCGCTGTTTGGGTTTTGGTTTTTTGCCCCCCCCCGACTGACCAATGCAAACAATGCGGGACCAACAACATGCAATTCACGCTGACTGCCTCCGCCTGTGTCTCCTGCTCCAAAATAACAACCATTGCGCATAATGCGTGCCGCAACAGATGTGAACCAAAGCGGCGAAATCGACGTTAAGGACTTCGAGCTGGCCATCGAGGTAAGTGGAGCGGAAATACTGCTGGCAAAAAAGCAAGCAGAAATTTGAATATATTTTTGAAGAGTGCTGTGCATACTCACATACCATGCATGCATCAACAAAAGAGCTGCGCCATTGTTTTTTTGGTGCTATTTGTGCCCCATTTTGCATGCAGTTTTTGCCAATATCAGCTGATAACTCAATTTGGGAGTGCCGTCCGTGCTGACTGTTATTGTTTCTGCCAATTGCAGCGCGTCTGCCAACTGCGCGGCTGGCAGAAGGACACGCCGAAGAACAAGGAGACTTACGACCTGATGATGGAAATCTGGACTGGCCTGCGCTCCAAGGCCGACAAGGACAACGATGGACAGGTGAGTTCAGTGCGGGTCGGAACGCCTCCCCCTTTGAGTTGCAAAGGCAACTAACTACATGTCAAGTGATTCGGTTTTTTGTCTGGCTCCATTGTCAGTGCCAAAAGTGCTGAAATCCATGGACTGCACTCGATGCCATTGTGGCAGCGGCTGACAAGTGTGCAGGACACCCTGCACATACAGTGTCCTTCGCACAGACAAACCGACAAATGCAAACGCAAAAAACGGAAGAGAAATTTCGTTCATAAATTTCCCTTTTTATTGGTGCGGAATGCCGAGGGGTAAACAAATTCCCTGCCAGCGGGCGGAAATTGAATTGTGAATTATTTGAGCAGTGCAATCCGAATTCCGGCCGGGGACTTTGCCACCAACTTTCTTCTCATTACGAAGACCAACTTTTTGTCCTAGAATGCATTCCCCTTTTGCCACAATCACAATGCCAATGTCCCTGGCATAATCGCACCGCCGCTGCAGCAAATTAAATTATAATCCGGCCCAGCAGAACGTAGTTCAATATCAACAAACGGCGACCGAAACCCGCAACAATGCGATACAAAGCGAACAGAAATTGAAATGTCAGACCGACAAAACCTCGGCTTAATTCTATTGGCGCATTCCAAGGGTTACGGGCTACGGGCTTTCGGCTTTCAGCTTTACGGCTACTTTGTGCGCAACTAAACTAGATGAGGTGGATTGTGGATATTGGATAGAGTGGAACTTCGGCTGCCACAAAAGCCGCAAAAGTTCTGGCCAACAGCCAAGGAACTTGATGGAGTTTGCTGCCAAAATATGCCAAATCCCTCGGCCATTGTTGGTCCGCCTTTGTGGCAGCCAGCCTAAGATTTATTGTTCACTTGCCCCGGCAATCCAAGTCGGAGCACGTGCCGTGACACGGCCCCAAATTAGCCGGAAAAGGAGCTGCAGTTTGATAGTTTACGCATTTTATTGGCTTGTCACAGGGTCAAGGATCTGGGCCAAATCGTTTCGATTCAGTCTGTGGCCATAAACATAAAAATATGCATTCAGTTCGAATGGCTGTTTAGAGTTCGTTTCTCGGGGGGTGGGGGATTGTTGGATGGTCGAACATAGCCAACTGCCAATTGGCATTACAAGTGGTCCTGGTCAGACACAACCCTCGCATTTATTTATGGCCGCATTAAAACATGCCAAAACGTAACGGCTGGCCACAATTAATGGGATGGGGCAGCAGTATACTGGTAACTGGTTACTGGTACTCGGTTTTTGGTAACGCCGTCGAAGGCGGTCAGCCAAGTTGGTCAAGGCGATACTGCGGTAATTGCCTTGTTCGGTATTGGCGGCCAGAAAATGTTAATATCGCATCACTAGATGGCATAAATTACACCCTCAAAGCGGCCATAACGAGGGGTAGGTGTTTTATGGCGAATCTTCGCCCGAGGCGATGCCCGACTAATGGGCTTTTCAGCACGGGGCGGGATGCATAAATCTGGGGCGGTGGCGATGGCGATTTCTAAGCCGCAATCTCATCGCTTCATCCATCCCATTATGGCTCTTCCAGGTCAGCGTCGACGAGTGGTGCAACATGTGGGACGCCTACGCCAAGGATCCCAGCAGCGTGATGGACTGGCAGAACGCCTACATGAACTTCATGTTCGACCTGGAGGACGCCTCGCACGACGGCGGCATCGATGTGACCGAGTTCACGCTGGTCTGCTCCAGCTACGGCCTGGAGAAGACCGAGTGCGAGGAGGCCTTCGGCAAGATGGCCCAGGGCCAGAGCGAGGTGACCCGGGAGCAGTTCGCCGCCTTGTGGAAGGAGTACTTCGCCGCCGAGGACGTGAATGCGCCGGGAAACTACATTTTCGGCAAGACCAGCTTCTAAGACCCAGCCATGAAAAATATAGCTCCGATGGACTGGACTGGATGATACTGAACAAATGCAACACGTGAAATTATTATTAAAATAAATATAATATATATCTATATTATCGACAGGGGGGGCAGAAGTCAGGCCTCCCGATTTGAAGCTCCGTCGTTGTTAGTTGAGTGTTGTTTTCTCTCCAAGAATCTCAAGTTTTGCCCAATTCAATGTTCTAATTTAGTAGCGTAATCTGTCTGTAACCTATTTATATTTTATATACCAAAGCTTCGAGTAATGAGCAAGCTGGAGTATCTCTACGCAGAAGTGTACCTTTACGAACTACGACTATGTCTAGAAAAGATATCAATTACAGATCCGTATCAATGTGGTGCGCAAATTAAATCAATTAAACTGTCAAATTGTTATGTGTGTGTAGTCGTCGTTTATCGTCTCGCATCTATGGCGTATAAATTTAAATGTAAATGTAAAGTGTTCCAAGAAATTACGATAATAAAATCAAAGTATCTACACGAATCTTGTCCCTCACTTGTTGCTGGCCTTGTAATTTCGAATTATAATGGATTTTACTGGGAGTGGTGGAGGGGTAAGAAGAGCAGACAGTTCAGCGCATCAAGTGCGATATAATCAACGTGTGCCGGGCAATTTATGAAAATTAAGGATAAAGTGCTTCTGGTCAGTCAGCTTCGGGGAAATTTACTTTGCAGCGCTTAGAAGCTCTTAATTTATGCCCCCGCATGCAGGCAGCACTTAAATTGAGCTCTCTCCCGATAATACAGTGAGCCAAAGTGTGTGAATTGGCTGTGACTGTCAGCCATTGTCTAATGGAACTTTTATTTACACTGGGTGAAATAAACAAAATGGAGCTGAAAGAAATATTCGCAATTTTAAATTTTTGGAGAAATGTATTTATTTTGATTTAAATTTTATTATATTTATAAGCGCAGAATATTCTTTTTAACAAACACTTAAGAAGAGAAAAATAGAAGGAGTGTTTGAGGACACTATCCAAGAATTAAATTGCCAAGAAACCCCAAAGGCCAACGAAAAAATTAACTTTTGACCTAATTTCAGTGCTGTTGATCTTCTCCTAAGAAGGACTAAGAGGAAAAACCTTGGAAAATGGGTCTTCCCCGGAAAATGGATATGGTTTTTACATTATAATTATACATTTTATTTTACATCAGTGGCGACCCCTAGTGCAGAAAAGTAGAAACGTAAATATACATTCTACATACACATGTTCACACTGCCGACATTTTTCCAAAGCCAGCACTAGTCAATTTTAATTTTTATCTTTAATTTATAATAATAATTTTAAAAAAGATATCTTAGATGGCATAAATCAAATAATATTAACCAAAAGTTGTAACATCAGAAAATTTCTTTGGGTGGTATTGCAGAAGAGTGGTGTGAGCAAGCTATTCCAACTTTTTTCGACTTTGTGGCATCTCTTTGAGCCTAAGACATATGGCAAGGCAAAAACAGCTGTTTCTCTTCTTCTTTACCGGCATTTAAAAAATTGTTAGGAACAATTTTTAATATTTTTTAACAACATGAGCAATATTGTGCAGTATATTATTGTCCGCAGTGATTTGCGTTCCGTACTTAGTTGGCCCTTGGGGGCGGTGATTGCTCAAACTTGCCACGCCACAGCGGCCGTTTTACACTTAAATTCAGAGGATGCAGACACCGTGGCCTATTTAAAAGATCTGGACAATATGCATAAAGTGGTGCTTGAGGTATGAAAATATGGGTTTTTAAATTTTATGCTAGTCTAATGTATGAAAAAAATATTTTTAATAAACTACTTTCTTTATTGGCAGGCCAAAGATGAGGCAGCTCTAGTCAAGCTCAGTGAAAAGTTAAAAGAGAACGAAATTAAGCACAAATTGTGGATCGAACAACCTGAGAATATTCCGACCTGTATCGCCCTGAAACCATATATTAAAGACTCTGTTCATAAGTACGTTAAGAACTTCAAGCTTTTAAAGTAGTAATAATTAATTACTAATCAATCTTAGTAAACTGCAAACCTCCTTGATATTGAATTTACTTCTATTTTTTTACATTTTATTCTGTGTTGGAGATATTATAATTATAATAAAAGCTGCCAACTTCAATTCTTGGTAAAATAGCATTGTTTTGGCGTTTTATTGCTGTAAATTAGCCAAAAAATGGCCCAAATCTAAAAGAAGTGCCGTTTTGAACTGCCAACAACCCATTAAATTAATCTTCATTACTTTGTGCCTGATTTAAAACCCATTAAATTAATCTTCATTACTTTGTGCCTAATTTAAAAAAATTAATTTTGCTATCAATTTTTGCTTTTTTTATAAGGGGTAACATCACAATTTTTTGCAAAAAAATGGAAAAATATTATATTTCCAGGTTTGAACGCCAAATGATTGGGAATTTCACTACGAGTTCAACGATATATAGAATTCCATATTTGTGCAACTAATTCCTATCTTTTGGCCAAAATACTGATATTTCGTTGAGAAAAGTGAGTTTTTCTTTTCCAATTTTTATTCAATTTTTTGTTGACTATTTTTTTTCCAGTTTTTTTATTTACGATGGGACAAAGACCACACAAATATAATTTAATCAAATAAATAGCAAAAATAAAAAACAAGTAACCATGGAAGTTGGACCTTAAACGTCTACTTGAAGCATGTGATATTCCTTGAGGATCTCTGTCAGCCGCCGAGAGATAAGAGGACATCGCTTGACTTTCAAGCGACGCAGCTTGCCCAGCGTCTTGGCCAACTCTGCAACGATCTCGTTGGACAGATGGGGCGAATCACTCAGGTCAAGAAACTCCAAGGCGTTTAGTTTACGCAGTTCCCTCAGTTCATTAGCCTTAAAGTTCTGATTTCGTAAAATTAAAGTTCGTAGTTCCTTCAGCTGGGAAATGATCTTCAGACCGGCAGCATCCACAAAACCAGGTGCAGCCTGCTGGAACTCTAGATGGCGCAGCGAATCCACCTCCACGAGGGCCAGAAGCAATGAGTTGTCCACCTGGTAAGGTTGCGGCTCCAAGGCTACGGCACGAAGGACCAAGGTGCGCAACTGGGACAGACCGCCTAACTGATTCTCGTCCATATATGGGCATACCGACACCTCGAGGACCTCCAGATTTGGACAGCTCCGCACCAACTCCCGATATACATGCTCGTCTAAGGGCCACGCAGCCGCCTCATCCTCATCCATCCAATCCCTGTTAAAATTCCGCAAGTAAATCTCACTGCAGCGGAGCTCGCGAAGAAGCGGCAGAGCGGCCAGCTTACGAAGACAGGTAGACTCCAAGTACTCGCAGCCTGAAATTCTTAGAACCTCCAAAGAAACTGGTAAATCTTCCAAGGTGTCACCTCGAATTCCAGGGTTTTCTTCAAGACTCAGTGTCGTCAGCTCAGTAAGTGGTTGCAAGAGAAGTAGATGACAATCTGTAAGGTCACAACGGCGCAGTGAGAGATTGGTAATCTTTACCGAACCATTGCTTCTATGGAATAGAAGAGCCATGTTCTCCGGACTCAGCGGAATCCGGTGGAAATGAAGTTCTGTTAGATTCGGACAGCTCACACCCAAAAGTTGTACAAACTGCTTCAACAGAGGCCAACGCGGATGCAGCGGTCCACCCTCCAAACGATGAATATGTTCTCCTGAAAGTCGCATCATTCGCCTGATCCCCCAGTTCGTCAGCTTGCAGACATCCTTCATATTAAGGACATGATTTATTCGTTTAGATTCCAGTTCGTAGATCGCCTGGAATCGTTGGCAACTGGCGGCAAAGTTAAGACGGGTATCCAGGGGCAGGTAGTTAAGCACCTTGCACCAAACGTCGTCGACAATGGGTAAATCATAGGCACTCAGAGTCCCTTGCTCCTCCTGCTCCGGCGGTTGATCCCAGGTGCTAGATGCGCGCAAAACAAAAGTATGGCCATTTAAAGTGTGCTTGGGAGAATACAAAGCCTTCGCCGCTTCCGTGGGCTCTTTAAACAGCACCCATCCCTCCTGCTTATCGGCACACCATCGGAGCTCATCTATGGTTCCAAATCTCGATAAATGTTTTAAAAGAGCCTTCCTTTCGAAAGGAAAGGCTGCACAGATTTTCACCCGTCGCACAACCTTGCGATCCTCGGTGTACGCCACACCATCCTCAATGTAATAATTCCGGAACTGTGGTTTCGGTATTTTCAACATGGGTTTGTTTCAGTTTTAGTAAGTAGTTGAATTAAAATTAAACAATTTTAAACAAGAAACTTGGCCAGAAACTGCTGAGAACGTTAATTTAAAAATAAAATTATAAAAATAAACAAACTTCAGAGAATTAAATATATACGTCGTTAAAAATATATAACAAAATTTTGTGTTCAACTGATTTTAGAAACTTATCTAAAGGTCTTGCCCGTTGGTTTATATAGGCTTAACTGACGTTAATCACAAATTAAAGAGGGAGCTTGTTTTCTCCGATTACTTTGATGTGCGGACGATTTAAAAATGTGATCGTAGCTTTTTAATTTAAAATCTGATAAAATATTACCATCATAAACTATCCCAATAAAACTGAATTAATAACACACTGTTCTTATATTTTGTTGACTTTTATTTTTTAAGTTTTGTTTTTAAATAGGGTCTTCTTGTAAAAAATAGCTGGGTTCCTTGGTTGCTTAAGGTATTTGAAATAGCTGTAGAAGTAGCTGCAGTAGATACAATTTATATAATAGTAGGTAAAGTATAACTATAATTAAAGGCTGCGTTGTCCTAGGCAACCTGGAGCAATTTGGCACAGATGCAGATTCAGATTATACAGTGTTTATGATAGGATGTTTTCTATGCGATGGATGTAGTAGCTATAGCTCTGTCCGATGTCTACATTTAACAATAACAAGTTACTAAAATTAAAACCAAAGCGCTTAGATTCGTCTGGATATTGCGGGGCCACGCCTTCGCTGCAGCCGTCGAGGGGGCGGTGGCGTTGGCAATTAGTTTTTTGAGCGCGGATGCTGCAGTGCATTAAGCTCGTCCTTGAGCCAGGCCTGCCAGTTTTCCTGCGAGGGGCGAGACAGAAGTTCAGCCGGAAACGGCCGGAGTTGGATGAGAGAGTTCAAGAGAAGCTGCGAGAGATGTGGAGCGCCAGGACCCGTCACCAAGCTAAGCCAGTGTGTGTGTGTGTTAGCCAAAGGATAATTGTGTTTGTGTGCGTAAGTGCGAGTGCGAGAGAGAGACAGAGAGAGTGAGGAGCAGGGTTAAAGACAGAGATAGAGTATGCTAATAGCATCTACTTTGCAGAACCGTTAGGAGCAGCAGCCACTTGGCATTTGTTAGCGCTAATTGCAAATGTCAACAGAGCGAAACAGAGCCAGGATTCGCAGCGGAAATCGGAAATGCTTAACTAGTCGTCTGCGTCTGTGTGCGTGTAGCCTGTGTAGGTGTCCTTGCTGGTGGGTGGTGGTGATGGTGGTGCTGGTGGTGGTGGGAGGTAGGAAGGAGGTTGGTTCTTAGGGTCGGTTCGCCTTTATGCGCCTGTGTTTGCCATTTGCCATTTCGCTGGGCTGGCTGACTGCTTCCTTTTCACTCATTGTTATGCAAATTATCCTGATATTCATCATATTCGTTTTCATTATCCTCCGCCTGCTCGTCCTCCTCCTCCTCCTCCTGCTCGTAATCGCTGGCGTTGCTTTCCGGCTGCGTTACATCGGGCAAATAATCCTTGTGCACGGGCGTCGAGATGATTGGCTCCTGTGTTAGGTGTTCGTGTTCGTGTATGTGTGTTTTTGTGAATTGGCGGGTGTGCCAGTGCGTTTCCCAGTGTGTTAGTGTTAGTTTAAGCGTGTGTGTGTGTGTGAGTGTGTGCGAAAGCAAAAGTTAGTTAACCAACTTGGACAACAACAAGATACTACCAAGTAGATGGAGGCCACGAGTGGCGCATTCAAAGTTACAACGATCAACTTTCCGACAGCCAATTGGGAATGCACAGAAAAAAATCAGGTTTATCATTAATTAAAGGTTCATTTAGATCTGAGTTTTTATTATTTTGAGAAGAAAAACTTTAATTTTCCTTTAAAAAACATTACATAACAAGGCTGTCAATAAAAAAAGTATTGAAATGTTTAGAGATTGATCAAGTTGAATTATAAATTATGAAGTTTTTTTTAAAAGTTCTGGAAAGTATCCTTAAAAAGGAAATAGTGGCTTTCCAGAAATCATATTAACAGAATTATTCTTATAGCGTAAAGATAAAAACTAAAAAGTTTCTCTTAACGAAATTGAAAGATTCCAGTTGGGGTATACAAATAAAATATTAAAGTTTTTTAGATATGATAAGAAAATAAGTACTGCAAATTAGAGTAATAAACTCAATTCAAAAGAACTTCCTTTAGATGAAACCATAATTGTTTTCTGTGTGTGGGGGGTATGGGTAATGGGGATAGAGGGTGGCTTTAGTCGATAACGAATAACGCATGCTAACCTTTGGCGGCCGCCATCCGCAGCCGGGCAGCGGCAGCCCGTCGGCGCCGAGGGGGCAGGGGGCGTCCAGTCCGGGCACACCCTGCTCACCCTTGTCGCCGCGATCTCCTTTGCGTCCCCGCTTGCCGGGCGGTCCGGCATCCCCTCTGGAGCCCTGCTCCCCGCGTGGCCCCTCCTGCCCGGGAATGCCATCCGTGCCCTTTTGTTTCGATTATCCGCAGGTGTGTGTTCGAGTGTTTGTGGGGTGAATGTGGTGGTGGGGTGGTTGTCAGGGGGACAGAGGTTGGGTGTTTGAGAGATGTGCATATAGGTAGTGAACGACGCCAAGAAAGAGAGAGATACGCATGCAAACAGAGGTAAAAACAATAAAAAGGAGAAAGAGAAGACACGAATTATTTTTAAATTAGCAACCACACGGAGTAGAAGAACATTTTCTAGGAAAATGCCCCGAGGGGCAGATGCTTTTGGGAGCTGCTGCTAATGCTTACCGGCAGGCCAGGATCTCCGCGCTCCCCCTTGTGACCCGTCTCGCCCTGGGCGCCCTGCGAACATGGAAAACAGAAAACAGATCGGTTATTACCATATTGTTTTCACATCACTGGCTGTTTTCGGGGAAAATACCTTCATGCCATCCAAGCCCGGAGGACCCTGCAGCAAATGGAAGAGAAACAAGAAAATGGGAAAAGCGTGTGGTTAGCAGAGCGGCGGGAAATGGAAAACCTGCCTCGCAATTAAAGTATTAAGTGTCCTGCGGACCGCTGTTTGTTTTAGTAAAAAACCATCACTTTATTGGAAATGCATAATTAATTCGAAAATTATGTTAGTTTCATTTAGCCATTTTACATTTCGGGCATTCAATTGAATGTGTTTTTTCTTGTATTTTTGCCACCTCAATTTGCACATGCTACGGCAAATAATTACCAGAATTCACATTCGTTTTTATTTCATTCGAATCATACATTTGAAATGCAGCAGCACGGATAAAAATATTGTATTTCGTGTTTTTGTGATGGCATAATGCACTCGCACATCGACATTCGGTATATGCATGTATATAGACATAAATACACGTAAATATATATATATATATTTATTTGTATATTCTTTTTTTTCGTTTGCAAACATCTTCTCGTTTATTGGGTAATTAACAAATTTACACTTACAATTATTGTTAGCGGCTTATTGGGGGTTTAACCTGTTTTTACGTCTCCTCAAATATAGTTATTTATTAGGTTAATGTTAGGTTTAAATCGCGAAAAACACAATTCATTATTCTAGCCTATGGATCGAGAAAGTTGAGTTCGTAGTTAGTAGGTGAAGAATGCTAGGGGTACGGAGTAAGTATTCATAAATCTAAAGAGCTATAGAGCGAGATGCAAGTAAACACGTTAGAGAGAGAGGGGAAAAGAGCTAGAAAAATTAATAATTAATTACGATTAAGTTCCGTTCTTTGCCGTTACCGCTTATGTACACATTGGGGTTTGTTTGACATTTAGTGGATTAAATGAAAATTGACATGCAAATTGCCTGTGTATTCTGTTTTCCATTTGGGGATTATTACAACAACGAGACACATCTAATTGAAAACAAATTGACATATTCTTTCTGATTTTCGATGCCGTTTGCCGACTGCCGCTTGCCATTCGAGTAAACTTTAAAGCTGCAAACATTTCCATTCCCCATTTGCATATTCAATAATTCCCATTCAATTTTTTTGGGTCTTGTTTGCGATGCGAAAATTATGCTGGGCTGAGGCTGTCAAATGGCAGTAGGCATGCATGTATGTATATACTTTTATTATCATATTTCCATGGCATTATTTCATTTGCATTGATTATGTTTGATTTTCAGGCCGTTTTATTCGTCCTTTGCCTAGTTGGAGCGTTGAAATTGAAAATGCTGCAGATACTCGTAAATGTTAATTTATGCTTTCATTTTTGTTCTTGTATAAATAGAATTGTTTGCGTTACTTTGTTTGAGATGTCCATGAAACCAATAGGATACATACTCGTGGTAAGATTATGTATTTATTGTTGATATTTCGCATTTCAGGAGAGGATACTCCAGGTTCGCAGCTTTTCGCAGCTGATTCCTTGATTTAATTTGGAAAGCATTGATTTTTCGACTACAGAATTCAACTTTAGCCTAACTATTGAATTGAAGTATTTATTAACACTGAAAAATATGCACAATTGGGTTGGATAGCTCTTTGTTTTGGATATACGAGTACATTGCCTTAGATCTCTTAAGTAGGGATTGTGTGTATGTTACTAAACAATATATTTTACTTGTAGACATCGAGAGAGAGAGATCTGGATGAAAGTATCTTACAATTCTTTTGTGTGGCCACCTTTAATTAGCACAATTCCTTATTTAAACACACACATTTAGTGGATTTCTGCTCTTAGCCTTCTTGTTTCACATTGAAGCTTTGGCAATAATGCTTTGAATGAATGAGTACTATTCGGATATTCAGACAAAGCCTATGGACGGCACCTAAAACAATGCAGGATGCAGCAGGAGCAGGAGCAGAAACTTAGGCAGCACGAATGTCGAAGACTCTGCCGGTTCAATTGCTAAGAATAATCTGATTACGCAAGTAATTAAGTCACTTATGGCCAATTGCCGATGATGATTGTGACTTTGGCTTCGTCATAATCCAGCAATTAGTAGCTTCGCACTCGGGGAAACACTTGAAAGCGATGGGAAATCCCAATCGCTCTTTTCACGTACCACGGTGCGTATGATTTATGCATTTTCAAGCGGCTTTTCTGCTCCTGCTGCAATTGCTTCGCACAGAGCGGCGACGAATGAAATGCAATTAAAATATTTGCATTGCATATATTTGTTAGTTGGTTGGATGAGTGAGTGAGTGTGGATGGGTGTTCAAAGTGTGTTAGTTGATTCGATTGATTGATGTTTGTAAATACGCGTCTGTAGACACACGTTTGTTTGCGCTACTTGATTGTATACATAAATACTTATTTGACTCTTGGGGCATTTTAAATGATATGAATATTAATTTTTTCTCATGCGGTTGGAGTGGAGGGGTTCGGTTCGGTTTGCTCGGTTCTTTGCCTTGTGCAATTAATTGATTTGCTTACTCGGCACACTGACATGCTGCTATTTTGAGTTTGATTTCTGTTTTCTGTACATGGGTGCGTGTTTGTACAATTTGATATACATATATGTAGTACGCCTGTCTTATACACATTTATATATATAGTATTTTATATATAGACGATAGCTGAGCACATTTGACAAGCGTTGAGCGGCTTCGTAACTTTGAACATTGTTTTGCTTTGATTAAATTGGATTTCCCATCTTCGTAATTTGAAATTCATATGTATGCATTTTCTTTGGGGGCTTTCTGTTCGAGTGTGTGAGTGAGTGTGTGTTTTGAGTGGGTGTGTGGGTTATAAATGGTTCTATTTCAAGTCGCATTTCATTTAGACTTTTGGCGCAATGTGTGCTGGTTATTATTTAAAAGAGACTGCCTTTTAACTAGTATTAGTAGTCGCCCCACACCTGTTTCAAGGAGAGAAGAAAGAGAGATGAGAACACACAATTCGGTTAGTCAACAGTATTTTTAGTAACGAGATCCACAAGAACGAAAGCCGGGAGGGTTACGACTAGCTAAGCGGGATGGAATATTAGTCCCAAATTTGGTGAAGGTATAAAATTAAAAGCCAAAACAATGAGGGTTTCCATTCAAATTACCGGTATGCCAGCCTTTCCCGAGGGTCCCGAAGGTCCTGACTCGCCTCTCATGCCCATCGGACCCTGCAATTATATAATTCATTATTATCGCGGGCTAAACTTTGGGCTATTTTAGCCACTTACCGGCAGTCCCATGGGTCCCTGGTCTCCCTTGTGGCCCTTCTCGCCCTGCCGTGGAGATTTGAAACAGATTTAGAGCTGGCTATCCAGAGATATTAGTCGCATTGACTCTTACCGAATCCCCCTTGCGTCCGTCCATGCCGCGTTCCCCCTGACTGCCGGTGTGTCCCGGTGGACCCATGGGTCCCGGAGGTCCTGGCGGGCCGTATAACTGCAAGGGAATCACGTCAGTTGAGATTAATCCACTGGGGTGGTGAATCAAAGATAGCTTACATATTCGATGGTGGGCATGTGCGGAGCATCGGACATCCCGTCATCCTGACGACGACGCATCTTGCGGTACTGAAAAGGAATTAAGGATTATTCAGGCTCGAGATGGGGTTTAATTAGAGTTAGATTTTTAGATCGATTTTCCATTTAAGTTATATCAATAATAAATACTCACCGAATCACCGCGATCGCCCTTGTCTCCCTTGACGCCAGGATAGCCGGGAGGTCCTGGCAGCCCCGGAGGACCCATCAATCCAGGCGGACCAATATCGCCCCGATCGCCCTTCTCGCCCGGCGGACCCTGATAGCCCGGCAGGCCAGGTGGTCCCTCGATGCCCGGCTCACCGGGCAGGCCATCCAATCCACGTGGACCCAACGAACCGGGTTCTCCCGGCTCACCCGGCTCTCCCTTGCTGCCATCCCGCCCGTCGCGTCCATCCTTGCCCGAGGTGCCCGGCGGTCCTGGAGGACCTCGCAGCAGTGTGACCGGCGGATCGTCGTAGTCCTCGTCTATCTTGGTGCCTCCGGGTCCGAATATCTGCCGAATTACCAGTGGGTGTGCAAGGGTTGGAGGGGAGAGAAGAAGATGGCAAATTTAGTGGGAAGATTAATTTATGCCACGTGGCACCGCCCGAGGCGTTGCACGCGCTTGTTCCACACGCTTTGATGGGGAAAACAAAAGCGGCGCGTAATTCGCAGCTAAGGGAAAAAAAAGTTTGCCCACAGGAGAGGGGGGGTGGTAAAAGGGGGGTTGCTTTTCGGGTTGGTGCGGCGTGTTCTGGTGGCTGTGCCGCAGCGAAAGTCTTTTGTGTGCCACGAAATTGTGTTAAGTGCAAGTTGGAGCATCCATGCCATCGCACCATCCCAACCACCCACTTTTCAGCCCCGTTGAGACAATGGCTGCATAGAAAATCTTTAAACCCGAACCGTGTGTTCCGTGGAGCTCCGGAGGAGGTACATATATATGGGGTATACGGGGTGTATGGGAGTCGAAAATAAAGTCAAGTCAGCGACAGCGACTTTTCTACGTGCTTCGAGTGCCTGTGTGTGAGTGCCAGTGCCCCCCGCTTTTCGAGTGTGTGGGTGCTCTTTGGCTCTTGCCATTGTGTGCGCGCATGTGTGTGTTTAAGTGAGTGAGTGCATTGCAAAAGACAATTAATTCTTTTTTTTCCCGTGTTTTTTTCGGTGGTTTAATGTGCACGCTTTGAGGCAAATTTCCAAGGCACAGACAACCAGGCCACCCCAACAAACATTAAGACCAAAGTTTCGATGGGGCTTTAGCGAGCACACACAAATATATAGACACAGTGCACTGCTCAAGGAAAAGCCAATAAAAATCAATGCTTAAAATCGAACTTAGGCTTAATGTAAAATAAACCTTATTATACTGGAAAAATATTAGTTACATAAATATAAAGTTTTCTAAAGTAAGAACGAATTTCCATAGAAATCATAGAAATAGTAGTAATAATATAGCCTTTGCATCATTGGTTTTACTGCAAAACACTTGGATAATAAATGCCCTGGCACTTAAGAGTAAGATTATATTCTTTAACTTCTTTCTTCTACATTAAGCATTTGGCTTTTTAAGGTTGATAGCCTGCTCTTTATTTTATTTATATTTTTCTTCAGTGCATTTTGCGGCTGACGGGAAATTACCGAAAGTTTTTGAGGGCGAGGGGCTTTCAGACCGCAATGCACCCAAACAAAAACCTCTATTAGGCGAATGCTGAGCGACATAAAAGGCAAACTCGGGCACAAAAAACAGCGAGTGCAGCGGAAAATGCTAAGGAGCCGTGGAAAATGGCTAGAATAAAGGCAAATGGGGAAAACCATTTACACATGTGGCTCAAGCAAATAGAGACACTCCACGCGACGTTTCGCTGGAATATTCAATTGCATTCGGGGTAAATCGAGTTGGGAATAAAGTGGTCCTCGGTTGGGCATTAAAGCCGGGTCCTGCGTGGAATTAAAGGGAAGTGCTCCCCGAGCAGTACTGCTGCAAATCTGATTGAATGTATCCGTTTAGTCCTTTGATTGTGCACAGGCATACGGCCTGCGAGTATCCATTACGTACACTCGTTCACCTCTATCCTGGCATTACGCAATTGATCCTGTTTCTGTTTCGCCAGCTGTATCTGTATTTGTATCTGTGGAAGTGTAATTTCCTTGCGGCATGCCCGGGCATGTGCAACAATTACATTTTCTTCTGTCACAGGAAGTGGCGTACTTACAGTTATTAAAACCCGGCAACAACAGCAACGGCAAAAGCGGCATAAGGACAACGGCATAAGGATCCGCATCAGCGAGAAGGCATAACAATGTAAGCGCTTAACGCACACTTATACGGACAGGATGTGGATGTGGCTTGGCATATGCACAAGTTGTTGGGTTGGTCCTGCCAAATGGCGACAGACAAAAGGACGAGGCGGCAAAGACAACGAAAGGACCGAAGACCAAGCAGAGGAGAAGATGAAGAAGCTGAGCATAAGTCCTTGCCTCACCACAAATGCACTTCCCAATTTCAACTTTTTCCCCCTTCGGCATTTGCTTTCTTTTTGCCCCGAGAGCTCATCTGCATGTGGCTCCTAGTTCCCAGTTCCTGGATCCTGGATCCTGGCTCCTGAGCAGGTGGTGTGCTCCTGGTATGTGTGTGCCTCAGTTGGGACCTTTGTTAGCAACTTTTGCACATTGTTCCTAATGCGGAATGCCGTTCTGCCTTGGCCATTTGTAGAGCAATTAAAGCGATTTGAATTAAAGCCGAGTGCTTAACGTTTGCCTTCTGCTGTAATTAAGGGACACTTTGAGGGCTTACGCAGCCACATTTTCCCCGACGGCCGGTTGCTGATCAGAAGAAAGGCATTCCGGGGTTTAAAGGCTTTTAAAGGCAGCCACGATAAATAACACAAATAAGAGATACAGATACAGATGCGAAGGGCAAATGTTTGTGGGCCTCGCAAGGACGATTGTTGGCGCAGCTGCCTAACTACGATAAAAAAGGAGACACTGTTTCAGCCTCTGCCTTTTCGGCAGCCCAAAAACCAATCGGTTTTGGGGGCCCTAAGTGTGTGTGTGTTAGGAAATCCATTAGAATGTATCAATATTTGTGCGAGCGAGCGCCTCGGGTTGAATTTAATTCTCAAAGTATCCAAACACAGTCACATGAGTGGGTGTGTGGGCGTAGGGTCCTCTTAAATTATGCGTAAATATTCAAAATATTTGCACAAACGCCTTTCAATTTAACGCACAAATGACGAGGCAAATGAATTTTCCACATCCACTGACACGGCGTTTTTTCACTGCATACTTTCGGTCGCACCTTTCTCTTTTCATTTATTTTTTTTTGCCCATTTTAGTTGTCAATGTACAAATTGTAATTGTAAATTAATTGCCCCATCTGATTGTCCGTCGCTACGTCCTACGGATTTCTCTCTCAGTATGCATCCGGGGAAGTTTTTCCATTTAAAGCTGGCAGGAAACCGGAGGAGGAAAAACAGACAAATGGCCGCACGTAAACGCGTTAAATTGAAAATCATTTTGATCTCGACGCGACCTTTTGCGGATGTCGTTGGGTGCAAACCAGATAGAGAAGGGCCAGGATTCTGGAGGAGGAGGAGGACCAGACCTCGGGAGACTCGCCTTCAAGTACAGCATGTGCCGCTGCTGGTTCCCTTCGACCGCCCACCCCTCCCCCTCCTGCGTGCGCGCATATTTTTCACAATTTTTCATTTTCCCCGGCAGTTTTCTCTTTTGAAATTTCATATTTTTCTCGGGCCATAACAACAACAGCCAGCTGGAGCGGGAAAAAAGCGCACTGAACGACCATCCGCCCCGTTGGCCCACCACCTGAGGTGAAAGTTTTGCAGCCCGTTTCCGGCTCAAACACCCACGCACACACACACACACACAGCCATATATTCCGCACACCCGTACACCCAAAATCCCGCCACTTCATGGCGTGTAATGCGTTGCGCGTTTGCCGCAAAAGTTTACAAAACATCCGAGGGTGGCCGGAAAGTTCTTCGCAAGTACGCGAGCGCATTAAATTCGTAATATGTTCCGCCTCGCATTGATACCGATTACAATGGGGCGATTCGGGCCATAAAGGCGGAAACTATAAACAATCTGAGAATGTTTCTGTTACGCAACTTGGTCTTCCGAGATAATCTAGGAAAATATCATAAAAATTATAAATACGGAAGCGATTAAGCTTTTCGGATAGAGGCCAGACCTCATAAAAAATCGATTTATAGAGTACATAGGTACTTAGATTATGAAACAAATTCTTAAAATCTTTGATATACCAAATTTTACAATATGAAGTAACATAATTGTTAAGATTTTAATTATTAATTCCACATGTCTTTTCTAAATGAAACTAATTTTTTACATTTTCACCCTCTAACTCCTATTAAATAAAATCTATTTCCCAATTTTTTTATTTCTGAATCCTTGAGAGTGGTCTTAAAAATCTATCTTAAATTTCCTCACTAACAACCACTGTTCGGAGCTCAAGAAAAGGAAGCAAGTCAAGACTCGTTGTAAAAATTTCGCGTGATTTCGTTTCGCCCCCAAGAATGTACAATGTAGCTGCGGTTGCTCCGGCTGCCGTGATATTGTAATATGTATGAAATTCGGAAGTATTTAGGGAAATCGTTGTTAAAGATTTCGTCGTTTTGCCATCCGACGACAACAGTTCCAGTTCCACATCAATGCCAAGATGGCAGCAGTTGGCATTCGTGCGGTTGGTTGTTGGTTTTTGGGTTGCCAAAGCGCGTTGGTTTCGTATAATTTTGCTACTTTTGCATGCACAGAGGAGGCGGGGGAGCATCTCATTCCTTATTCCCCACTTCCTGACCCTACAATTCCTCCATCCCCCTTCTCGGGTTTCCAGAGTTGGCAACCTCAAACCCACGTCAATGTAACACGCGTGCCTATAAATTTCTATGAGACTGACTAACTGGTGGGGGGTTTTTAGGTTCAGTGGGTGGGGATTGGGGGTCAGAGGGCATTGTCGCCAGGTCTGCGATTGTGTGTGTGAGTGTGCATGAGCCCGGATTTCTTTATTCAATCGTTTTTGCGACTCCCATAGCGCTCTCATCATCGGCGGCCATAAAATAAAAGTTACGCACACCCTGGGGGCCAGGACATTACCCCCAACTCCCCCAACACACATGTGTGCGTGTACCCACGCATGTCCTGCGGCGTGTTCCATGCTTGACCGGTTTTCCTCCTTTTTTATGCCGGCTTTTCAGCCCGGACAATCTGGCCATCTCGCATTCAATACAAGATATATGGACGCTGACCGCAAATAATTGCCGCAGCCAAGGAAAATTGGAAAATTGCGCATAAAGGAGGCAAAGGGAGATTTGCATGCTGCGCATTTTTCAATGAACAATGACGTAACACAGACACATTGTTGCCCATTTCGTGGCGCTTATCAAATCGGCAAATCGGAAAAGCAAAAAAGAGAAAGAGAAGTCGTCTCCACTCAAGCTGAAGCAATGAAAATCCAGGCAATGAGCCCAGGATCCGGAGTTCGTGGTGGTGGAAGTGCTAAGCTTATTGCGTCGTTTAGGCAACACCCGAGCCAACGAATTGGCCAAGTGGCAGCCACAGCGATGAACCCTTTGAGTGGCAGACAGTAAGATATATGTATGATGGTACACACAGGCGAGTGCAGGATACAGAAAGGTCGTGCCACATTTGGATTTCCCTGTAAGCAACCTTAAGTCTTTGATTTTGCCGAGGAAAGTATGTCAAGCTAGAGAGAGCTCTCAAAGTTCCCGGGATCGCATTTCCTTTCCTTATTTTTTGGGGGTGGAGGGGCGGAGACCGTGTGACGTGTAGCGAATTGACAAGTTTTTTGCGACTTTCGCAATTTTTATGACTCCATTTACTTAGACGCAGGCGGCAGGGCAAAACTTCTCCTGTTGATAAGCAAAGCAAACTGGGCGAGGGAGGTAAATTTATGCTGATGTGAAGGGCCCAAAAGACAACAAACTTGACATGGGGCCCTGGCTGAGCAACGATTGTAAAATACATTAGCATAAATTTGACATAAACGCTTCACAAACAGTTTCTTCTGGCTGAGATTGCTGTCAGCCATGCTACATTCAACATCATCCCGAAACTCCCCTTGTGACTTATCGTTTCAACTTTATTAAAACGGGATATAGATGTGGAAAGTGCAAATCTGCAACTGCTAAAACGAGCCATGACATAGGAAATTCCATGCGACACACCCGTTTTGAAATTAATTTAAATTTTTAATATGATGCCCGCTCGTAAATTTCGTGTTTGTTTGTGCTGCGGGAAAAAATGATTTGAATACTCTTACGGCCAATGGGTATTATGCTTTTTGAAGAGATTTTGTTTGTGACTTGTGGAATTTATGATTTTTGACAGCTGACTTAGCTGGCTTTTGACACTGGGCTTAGTCGGTGCATAGATTTTATTGATATGTCACTGAATATAGGGCACAAAAGCATCGGTTCCTTGCGAAACTCAGCCTCACGCCTCGCTACACACATCGAAATTCATTTCATATGCTAACCCCTCATCAGCAAGCCCCTCCCCAACACGCCGCTCCTGGCATGTGGCCATCTATATGAGCATTTTATTCTGACGAGGCGACGAAAATAACATGTCAAATTTATAATGCCAGCAATTGCGTTATGCCTTTTTTATGACGCCGACGGCTAGGCAATAACCCAAAAAAAAGGAGGAGGAAATTGGGGAAAATGGTTTTAGCCATTGCCAGATGCCGTTGGCGAGAAACGGATAAATGTATTTTTCGAAAATAGACTGGGCATTTTTTACGATTTGCCGAACTAATTATGGCAAAGTTGAGCTAATTTCGAGGCATGGAAAAAATTCCCATCAATGCAGCTCTGCACGTCATTATCATTATCATATCATTATTATTTTCCCACCTAGGCAAAAGCGACATCGCGTTGGGGGTTCCTTTTTTTCAAAGAGGGAAATCGATGCCGCATTGGAAAATCAACTGGCTGCCCGGGAGGCGTCACGTTTCCACAGAAGATGACGGCAATTGTTGCAAATCATTTTTTATGCCTTGCACTGCCTGCGGTGCGGCGCATGAGTGCGAATATAGTTATATCTGTTGTTGCCAAAACTTTTGTTTGTTTGCCGAAGAAGTCGGCCCAGAGGCAGAAGCCGTTTGCTTATGACTTTCATTTGTTTTGACATCACGTTGCTGCAGTTCGGTTGGATTCGAGAATTCCGACAGGGGCATCGAGGGGTGCAGGGTACACATAATCGGCTCATGGAAACTGACTAGCAGGAAGGAAAGATCGAAAAGTTTTATGGAATGCTTTAAAACTATTTTCTCTTCTGGAAAACTATTCACTTTTCTTTGGCCATAAAAGCATGTCAAATTTCTTTGCCACAAAAATGTATCTCCTGCAGCTCGAGTCGATTTTGAATATTATTATGAAAGTTGAGAACTCTTTAATTGGTTTTAATGCAAACGTGCTTGGGCAATATTTTGTGTTGCATTCTTTTGGATTTATTCTTTTAAGGAGATGAACATTTTCATTGTAGTTTATTCTCTTTATTGGCTTACTTACTGAGTAAATATTTAAAATTGTGTTTAAAATTCAAGATGATTTTTATCTATTTTTTAATTGGCCTAAAGCTCAACAAATGTTATCCTTCTGAGCTTCATAAATGTACGGTACAATCCAACGTTACATTTTCTTCTTTCAAGTGAGCAAAATGTATGCAATTATTCGCGTCGTAATCCCATTAAGTATATTTATAACTCTTCAATCCTATTATATTCTAACTTTTCTGAACATCAAGAGCTTAATCTGCCCTCGCTGGGCTGGCAAGAAAATCCATGGGCAACTCATAAAAGAAGTTCAGCACGTTGCCGCCGCGTTTTCTGTTTGTTGTTTCGCTGCTGGGCGTATTGAAAGTCGTCTTGTATATTGGCCAATGCCTCCCGTTTTCTTTTGGCATTATGCGTTATTACAAAAACAGCAACAGCGGTGGCAACAGCGGCTGCCATGACTTTGACTTTGCTGCTGCACAATAATCAGAATGTTTTTCCTAGTTCCCCAACCTCTTGGCTACGTGAAAATGGGCAAAATGCGCAAACATTTGCGCACTGGTTGAGCAGCATAATACATAAACACGAACCCCTGGCCAAAAGTTCAGTCCCGAGGAAGCTCATCCGTGGCGTAGCAGCTTCGCCGGCGGCGCTTATGCATTTTTCATAGCGCACACAAACACGTGCTGGCCACATATTCATATATATATACATCCATATGTATATGCGCAAAAAAAGAAAAGGAAATGAAATGAAAATTCCAGCATCGCCCCGAAGAATCGCGCATCCATCAACACGTCAAAGGGGCGGCAACAGCTGCCGACACTTGGAGTGCCAATAAAAATGTTAAGTATCTTAGCACTGTTGACATTCTCTGGTGGGGGAACCCATAACGCCGAGATACTAGATAAATGCCTCCGATATGGAACAAGTATTTTTCGGGGGAGGCGCCATAATTTAAGCATCAGATTAGGAGGCGAAAGACATAGTTTCTCTGGAATGGGGCTGCCAAAAGTATCTGGCAGATACTTTGGGACACTTTTTTTCTCACCTCCCTTGGCAGCTTGTCAAAGTTGCGCTCCACGAAAGCTGTAAGCGAAATCTCAGGACTCGCACATTTTGCTGTAATGAGTTAAGTAACACGCTTCCCGCAGCCGTGTAAACATGCTCATTACACCGACTGCCAAAACATGCAGGTGAAACCATGCGGAAGGACAAGTTTTCGGGTTTGCCCTTCTATATGTGAAGGTATATAATATATATTTACACCCGCGGCGTCACTAGTGTATTTACAGATTAGCATAAAATTAACGCACACGCCCACGCATTTGTACAAAAGTAATTTACATGATAATACACTTCTTGTTTTCGAACTCAATTTACGGCCTGTGCCGTTGAGTTTCTAATTAAAAATCGAGTGGAATCAGGTTTTTTTTTTTTGTGTTCTGTGTTTTGTGTTATTTTTTGCTCTTGAGCTTTCTGTGTTATGTTGATTACACTCACCCGCTTGCCGCGTTTGCCGCGCGGTCCTTTCTCGCCGGGCGGTCCTGCCGGTCCGATGGGTCCCGCTTCTCCTCGAACTCCCGGCTCTCCAGGCGGACCTGTGTACAAAATGTTAATTTCAGCGAATCGCTTCTAGTGACAGATTTCAAAATGCGAGCAAACAATGCCGGGGATATATATGTACCCACCTATATTCCGACACACAGATACTAGAGATACAGATACAGATACGCCCGCAAGTGTTGTGCAAACAGTGGGCGTGGCCTTTGTAATTATAGAGCACCGAGAGCTCAATAAAGCCCCCTTCCCCTGCCCCCTGAATCCCATCATTCTGTTGGTTTTGGTCAGCAATTTGTTCAACTGGTTGATGATAAGGGACGGACAGGCTCTTGATGGTTTAACGATGGTCGGGGGCTTAGTTGGCAATGCAAATTGTTTATTTGCCTGCGAATGAAATGCTCAGAGTTCACAGTGGTCGGCAATCGATTGTAAATGGTTCAAGGCCCCAGCTTCCAGCTATCTCTGCGCTATGCTAATGATGGCAACGACTTGACCTAGTTGATGGTATTTTATATATAGATATAGACGTGGCCATTCGAAGCAATTGGAATGCAAACAGATGCAGAATAACAATTTAATATGCATAAGCTGCACTTTTGCTGGCAGCTGGAGAAGCAAACCTTATTTATGCCCCCATCGCTGATTCCCCGATGGATTTCAGTGTGTTTAAGACAAATACTCCAGCCGGCTGTTGGCTGCAAATCCAATTTGAGCTCATCATAAGATACCCATCTCCATTCCCATCACCATCCTGACATTCTTGCTAAACGCTGGCTCTTCACTCAATTTGCGTGCTTTGTTCCTAAGCCGCGACGAAGCTGAAGTGGCCTATAAATCCATCAGCGGCAAATTGACTTTGGCCCACTGTGCGCTGGTCGTCGACCAACCTGTTTAGTTAGAATAATGAGAAATTGCGTTCTTTTTTTCGGGTTGTTTGCCAGGGCCATTAAACGAGACCATTTGCACAACGAACGACCAGCAACAACAACGAAGGGCTCATGCTCATATCATAGATAAATCCAATTGTGCGGCTTGTCAAAAACGGGGCCAGGGCAAAAAAGATATAGAGAATTTATTAAGTTCGTAAAATTGCGTTTCACGCAAAAGGACCTCGTCCTGCGGAGAGCATAAATTTACCGGCACGCCAGGACCGAGATCCTGTGATGTCGCCTCCCATTTGTTTATAAAGCATTTGTCTATTGTGTCTGGCCCCTGAAGTTTTCTATTTATGTATGCATAATTCACCGTTAAGCATTTTAAGCGACAATTGCAAGGGCAGTGTAGAAAAACTATGGGCTGAGCAAGGGTCCAAAGAGGATTGTGGATTTATAGTGTCCAGTCCAGGATATTGGATTGCCGGTCGGCCAGAGCTTAGTGTTTATTTTTGCTTGCCGGCGCAGATGAAATGCCCGAGATAAGTTTTAATTTCATAGAACGGAAGCCGAGGACCGAAGACGCAATGCAATCAACCAAAAACCGAAATGAAATGAAATTCAAATAAATCATGGAATAAATTGAATTTTTTGATATTACAGCTGGGACTGCTGCTGCCATTGTTTTGTGTGCTATGTGCTGGGATTTTCAGGGCTGAATGCCGGACCAACCGGCATTTTCCGCCCGAGAACGACACATTCAATTGCTCTGGGCTGCCGGGCCCACACACAAAGAAAGCTTAACTAATTACGGACCCGATAAGATAAGCCGTCGAGACCAGACGCTGGGAAGCCCGGAAACAAATGACGTTCCATTTATTCAAATCAAGCCGGAGAAATGTCCCCTGGGTTCTTGGCTCTTGTCGCCGAAATTGGGGAAAAATAAATTGCAATTTCATGTCCATCAACGCATCAGGGAAAATGTGGGCTGGGGTATGGAACGGCGGAAGTAATCGAATGCAGCATTAGTGCAACAGCAACTACAACAGCAACTGCAACTGCCACTGCCACTGCAACTGCCGACAGATATCGCAGCAGCAGATCTTGTACCAAGAGTGCAAAAGTCCAGGAAGAAATCCAGAAACAATGGCCAGCTACATGAGCCTCGTCATCGCAATCACATCGAAATGCCACTGGCGACATCGAAGCACTTTGATGCCAGCCAACTGATAAGTCAAGGGGACGAGGTGGCTGAGGGCCTGCAGGGCTGAAGGGCCGGGGGGAGTGGCACGTCGAGGGGCGAATGGGCGGAGGGGGGCGTGGACCCTCGTAATGATGCGGGTTGCGCAAACCGCAGCCAAGCGCTTAATTGATGGCGTTGCTTGATGGCCTAACGAATGGTCAAATGCGGTAGGGGTACTCAATCAAGCAAAACTTAAGGAATGAAAATAAATCGTTATATGATTTTATTTAAATTAAATATTATTTAATTTTCTGTTTACAGTGATTTTAAAAAATTTAACTAATAGCCTTGTTGATAAAATATAAATCTGTTGAAGTAATAGAAAAAGTTCTGTTAGAATTTGGCAAGTAGAAAAAAACGGATAATAAACAATTGAAAGGGTTTCTTTTTTCCACTTTTGCATAAATTACTATCAAGCGTTCAAAGACATAAAATACTCTTTTCTGTAATTAAAATATTAGGTTAAATAAAATTTTAATGTCCAAATAAACCGTCACATTAAAATTTTAAAGCCAATTATGTTGATGGACATTCAATGTTGAATTTAACATTATTCCAAGTGGGCGTTATTCTAAAGCACTAAAAAGAAATTACCCCAGCCAGAACCAGAACCAAAATTAAATTAAAATTCTATTCTCGCCATAAAACTTCAACCACGGATCATCAACACCATTAATCCGCAATCCATCAATTGGTTAAATAAGTCTCCAGTCAAGCCGACATTTATTGGTCATCAGTCCATCTACTATATCCATCAGTCGCACAGCTCGTACGATTGCTTATTTATTGCGCCCACTGTGAGTGCCCCTAGTAAAACAGTAGTACAAGCTGTCGGGGTCGGGGTCTAACCATCCCAGCCCAACCCAACCCATTCCATCCCATCGAATCCCATATTGTTGTACTCCAACTCGATGGTAGTCATGCTAATGAGCCGCTAAAAGCCACATAAATGACATAAAGTTGCATTTTTACGACTGCTCGCCAGTGCCACGAATTCTCGGGGTCTACAAATTTTTATGAGAATCACTAGATTTGTATTTGATTCTCGGGCGATTCAACTATTTTCGAACGGCATGTTTTTGGGGCTATTTTCGTGTATTAAATTCGTATAAAGTGCAGAAATGTGTTTGGAGCCGAGCTCATAAAACCGAGCTGAATGGAAATTCCATTATTGCTGTGGGCGGAGCAATTCGAGTGGGCGTGATGCCGAACTCCCGACATTTCTATGAGCGTTTAATTGACGTTGAAGTCCGAACTGGGCGCACAACAAAGGTCATAAAAGTTATCGCAAAATGCAGCAGTGAAAAATGAAATTTGAAAATTTCCAAATATGGCAGAGGCAACGAATAAAATATTTAAATTATGCGAGGGGCCATAAAATATTCGGGAAATGTATTAAATGAAAAGCGCGCGCTGTGCCACTCTGATTTCCATTTAAACGAGCCGACCAAAAATAAAAGTCCCAACTTAAAGTCCAAACTAATGGGACACAGTGCTAGTCAATGACTCAATTAGACGAGGATGGGGGCCTACATATGGAGGGAATATGTGAGCGCATTCCCAGATGCGGATGACAATAAATTAGGCGACCCGCAGCCGCGTGGCAGCACTTGAAAAACTCATCGTTCGTTCGTTCGATCGATCGATGCCATGCTGAAGTACCGCTTGTATCTGTATCTGATTCTGTGTATCCGTTAAGTGGCTGTTGCATGATGCAAGCACAAACAAAAACAATAACACTTACCAGGTGGTCCCGCCGGTCCCGGCGGACCCTCGATGATGCCCGTGGGGAACTCGTCACCCTTGATGGTTGTGGTTAGTCCGCGATCGCCTCGATCGCCCTTGTCGCCCTGCAAAGTCGGCGAGTCGGAAAGTGAGTGAGTCATTGTGGAAATTAATTGGAAAACCCGGGGCAGAGCCTTAATGCATAAATAAACGATAAATACCGAGGAAAGAAAAACCCGAGACCCGCAGGGTCAGGCCATAAAGGAAACGGGGCGAGTCGGGAGAACAAAAGAGGACGAATCACTGGCAGTCACTTAAACCGTCGCCGTGTTTATCCAACAGATACAAATAATGCATTAATCCTGGTGACATCTTCCTCCCCCGATTCTCTTTATTGTTATGTCTTCTCTTATGTGTTATCTGCTGTCCTTTGTTTGTTTGGACGTTTTTGTGAAGGGATTTTCGGTGAATCACCGGCAAAGACTCACCTTCGTGCCAGGTGCGCCGGCCACGCCGGGCGGTCCTGCGATTCCTGGCTGTCCGGCCTCGCCCTGCACGCCCTGTGCTCCGGTTTCGCCCGGTGGTCCCCGCTCCCCGGGCACCCCAGGCTGGCCCGCTTCGCCCGGAGGTCCTGGCGGACCCGGCTCGCCGGGCTCTCCCTGTGCGGGGGAAATGAGGAAACATGTTTATTAGCTCTGGTTTTAGAACTGGCATCTGAAACTGGATCTCCCGTCGACTTGACCGACTTTGGGGTCACGTGCAGGACATAAACTAGGAACAGGACATGCTGGGACAATGGAACTTAAAAATAACAACTCACCTTCAGCTGTATGACTGTGGAAGCGGACACATTGACGCCTGCTTCTTGCAAGTCCTTACAGTATCAACATAAACCATAACAACAACAAGTTCAAAACGTAACATAAAAATAGTTAAAGAAAACATTACCAAATGGGTTAATCAAAACAATGGTTAATAAATCATCATAAAACAAAATTAGTTTCAGCTGCTGCAAAAGCGTTGTTAGCCAAATTAAAAGCAAATAAACCAAATTAAATGTCCTTAAAGGGTAACAACTAAAAACTACAAAACAAATAGGATGGAAATTCCATTAAAAACTACCGAAGGGATCTGTCCGAAAAAGTTGCCACTGCCGAAAAGAAAGGAAAAGGGGGAAAGTCTACCAAAACTACGATGTTGCAACGAATTTATGGCGCAGTTTAAACAAAAGGCAGCAGGACAACGGACAGCGGACAGAAGACAGGCGACAGAAGACAGGAGACAACTTAAAAGCATTACAAACGAGAATGAAGCGAGACAATAAACACAACTACACAACTAAGTAAAAGGACGACTACAGAAGGACAAATCCAGAGACCAAGCGCCTGAGCCAAGGACAACAAGTTGCGAATAATTTGTTGTACGCTGGGCTGCCATCGCTTGGCCATCTGCATTTGGCCCCTGAAAAATGGTCTTGACCATGTCTACGTCTAACGGGGAATAGGATAGGCGGAGTGGTAAAGAGTTTGGTTGATGGGTGGGTGGTGGATGTGGTGGCTATACCTTAACAGCAACTATCTCCGCATAGCCCAGCGTGCCGCCATGCAGCGTTGTCACCGATCTCTTCAGACCCTAGGAATGCAAAGCAATTTTGGATCCGGTTAGAGTCTATTTAATTTGTAGCCAAGAATTGCAGCAGCCTTTGCGGATTTTGTGGAGGAGGACTGGGACGCAGACACTTACCTTCACCGTTTGGAAGACATCCATGCCGGGGTGGCCCACATCGCCCTTCGAGCCCTTGTCCCCGGGCTTGCCCGCCGCACCCTTCTCCCCACTGATGCCATTCAGGCCCTAGGCGGAGAAAATATATTCAAAGTTATCTTAAATATTAGTTTCTTTCATAATTTCCAATATTCCGAAATTTGTTGGATTTTAGTGGCTAATACTGATATTTTAAATTTATAATGTAGTTTTAATTTAGATTTCTTAAGAAATCTATTTATTAATATGGTAACTTTAAAAATTGTTATTCATTACGTTATCCATAATTATTAAAAAATTATTAATGCTTAAATATGTTGGTTTTACTTTTTTTTAGGTTCTATATTCACATAATTCCCATTTAAGTACCTTTTTAATTCTTCTTAAATTCCAGGTATTACGCAAATTTTGATTGAATAAAGATTGTCAAGTTGAAGCTGACCAAAAACATATTTTGGTTAATAAAATCTACAACTTAAAGTTTTCAAATTTAAAGTGATAATATAGTCTTGAATACTTTTCTTAGGTTAACGGAATTGTAAAGGTCAATTTGTTTTCTAAGTGAGTTTCAGTAAAATCTATGTCAAGAGTGTACTTCCAATCGGAAGATCTGCCAGCATATGAACCTCATTTCCTGTTTTCAGCTGCCACTTACCGGATCGCCCTTCTCGCCGCCGTCTCCCTTCTTGCCGCGCTTCCCTCGTTTTCCCTGCGGACCGGGCGGACCTGGAGGACCTGCAATGGAAAGTTTCGAGAGTTAGTTGTGAAAAAGCAATCTTAAGGTCGCCTCATTAGTTGCCCATTGAACTTGCCGCTGACCCACAGGATGCGATGCCAGTGGACCAGTGGCAAGCCATTTCCTTAAATCCCCATTCCCATTCCGCACTTCCAGTTGAGCTACTTTTTTGGGGCGTTGTTTTTTGCGCAGTTGGCGCAAATTCATTTAGCTGAAAAATGACTTTTCGCAGCATTTTGTCACGCTGCGGGAAAAAAGAAGCTGCTGGCGAATGGCGAATGGCGGGCACAAAATATTTACAACCACTTTGGCTGCTATTATTTCGGTGCTGCGAGGAAACTTTATCTACCCAAAGGAACCAGAGGAGCAAGGAGCCGAGCCAAGGAGCACGGACCAGGACAAAGCTGCAGTCGATGCTTTTCAATTATTTCGCATGCAATTTTCCATGGCATAAAACTCCGAGCCGAGGTCCTTCGTGTCTTGTCTTGTAATTTTCCACTGCTGCAGTTGCCGCTTTTGCTTCTGCTGCTGCCAGTCTGCCCATGGCAATTATTTTTATTAGAGCCGACCCGCTGCACTTGTTGTTTTTTGCATCCACGGGACAGGAAATTAACACCTAAAATTCCAAGACAAAGGCACCCAAACGACTTTCGTATAGTCCAATGTATCAGTCGGAAGGTGTGAAAATATTTAATTAAATTAACAACAACAGACAACAGCAACAGCAGCAGGGCGGCTACAGGAAGCGATTCCCCTTCCCTTTCCTCTCTTGGAAGTTTTTTGGAGCCGTTTCATATAATAATTGTTGTAATTAAGTAATTTCGTTTTTCTACTTCTCCGCTGGCGAAGAAGAAAGCAGGGCTCGCCGAAAGGAAGCTGCCCTTAATGCAGGAAACGCCGGCAAACAATTTAAATTCATTTCGCGCTAAAATGGCGCCGCAAACTACCAAAGGCACGCGCCCCTCCTGTTGGTGGGTGGTAAAATGGGAGGGGGCGGTGGCAGCATGGGCGTGGCCATGTTGTAGACTATGTAGGTGCGAAGTGAGGCAGCCAGCATGACTCGGGCCAAGGGCCACCGATGCCGGTGTCTCGCCCTTCCTCCTAATCTACGGATGCTTATTTAATTAAAAAAAGATTTCTCAGTTCACGCACCCGAGAACAAGAAAGTACGAAGGCAAATAAAAAGCAAAAGGAACCGAGACTACTAAAGTATATTTACAAGAAATGTAAAGGTTGTTTCGAAACTTTGAGATTACCTGGTGGGAGTTCATTTTTGGAATTTAAATGATTTTAAATTGGCTATTACTTAAAAATTATATGACCTTAAGATAGAAAATATTTATAAGAATCAATATGTATTTTAAATATTTTAAATAATGCTGACAAATATTTTTATGAACTTAAATAGCTTTCACGATATATAAATAAAACAAAAAATAAAAAACTTTTTATGGAGCTTCTTTCCTATCCGCTTAGGCTAATCAATAGATCTGCCATGGAAGCCCTAGAAGTGCTTCGTTAAGCCATCCATTAAATTTGCCTAATCTTGAAGTTGGCCCACTGTTCGTGGTGGTCGCAAATTATGCGCTTGCAGCACTTGCCAAGTAATAAAAGCCAACCAATTAAGCGTGGCTAAGACCCGGCCCAGAAACAATGAAGGAGTAACTCGGCCCGCCGGGGTGTACGAAAGTTGGATGCCACATGGATGAGGGACAAAAGGCGGGACTTGAGCGTCAAGTGTCGTAAGCCAAAGCCAAACGGAAAGCGTTGACGCACAAAAAGAGAAAGAAAAGAAAGGAAAATTGGGAGAGGGCAGTGGGGAAATATGGGTCCTGGCTGAAAGGACGAGCGGGAAGCTTTTGTGAGCGGGCGGAAAAAGTTAAAATTGCTCTTAATCTAATAGCAACATAATAATCATAATCATAACATCGTTTGCCTTCACATGGGTGCTCTCTACCCCGAGTTTCCCGGGTTTTCCCCACTCCTTCATCGTTGCCATTAACGCCGCATTTTCCGTATTATTTTCGCGTTGATGGCGCCATTTTGGCTTACAGTTTGTTGGCTGCTAATGGCATTTATTTGTTGTTCTTGCCGCTCCTGTTGATACTGCTGCTTAATGCGCTAAGAAATCTTATTGTGAACACACATATATACTTGCTTATATACGTATAGGCTGTCAGCCAAACTAAGTGCGCTGCCAGCTGATGAAGTTGTTAAGTCGCAACTTGTTTTTTTCCGCCCAACTTGATGGCAGCAGCCCTGTCGCTTCCAATGTATTTTCCCGCTTCCACTGATGATGATGATAAGGATGATGGTGCAGGCAATTGAACGTACTCGCACATACGTGCCAGCGGAGTTATAAATCTATATCGATGGCATTAGTTCAACTGCTGCATCAGCTCAGTCAGCTCAGTCAGGCTGCCGCCCCCCAGAAAATGGGAATTATGTCAAGTTGTGAGCGTAATAAATACTCGACTTGGCATCGTTTACGTGCGTACAACACCACGACAACACGTACAACAAACAACGGCTAAACAAGTTGGCAAACACCCGGGAGAGAAGAGATGGTGAGGACTAAAGGACTACAACCCCATTTCCCATTTCACATTTCCCAGGGCAACCAGAATGGTTCTGCATTGAAGTTTCGCCGGCTGCAACATCAACTAACTTTGCCGCCACACTTGGGGCTTGTTCATTCTCCCAGAGATTCATCTAATTTGCCAAGTTGCCGGAGCTGCTGAGGCTGCAGACTGAAAACTGAAAACAGACTGAACAGCAGGGCAGCAGCAGGCAATTCGGGGTTCAAAGACTTGACTCGGTTCAGTCTTGTGGTCAAAGCTCAATTGATTTTTCACCGAAAGGATAACTCTTTTGGGCTCGATTTGAATAGATTGGGTGTTCAACGGAAGGGGTTGATGCTGAAATGATTTCCTTGGAATTCGGTCGAATGATTTTATGGGGCAGACAGGTTGGCCTTTAAAGAGCAAACCCAAATCCATAAAAATCTGTTATAAATTTAAAGGTTCAAGTTAGCTTCATTGGAGTAACATTTTTCTTTTAAATTATTAAAATGCGTTTAATCCTTTGCACTGCCACTTTATTATTAATATTGCGATGCCAAAGCAAACTCTGAATATATTCTTGAAAAAGTTTTTATCTATAAGTGCACCTGCTGCTTGTCTTTGAGCTATGCGAAAAGTTTTGCTGCCTGAAAAGCGGATTCCTGAGCTTTAAGGCAGCCACTTGGCATTTTCATTAGCTGTGCTTAAAGCGAACGCATAAGTACAGGGGGTAAATTAAATTTTCATTTAAAGAGTGCGATGGCAGAAAGTGCGGAAAGAGCCAGTGCAGCTGGTCCGCACAATCCAGGATCCCTGTCATCCTGTCAAGGACGTCTGTGCGCAGCGCAAAATGAACTGCCAGCCAGGAGTGAAACTTGAAATGCAAACATTGATGGCAAACTTTTAACTTTTGCCGTGACGTGTGTCGTCCTTGTGCTCAGTTCCCCGGTGTCCTTTGGCTCGTACGTGCGTCAGTGGCAGGCAGGTAGCAGGATGCAGAATTCTCGATGCAAAATGCAGCCAAATACGAAATGGTAAGCATACTTAGAGCATTTGCTCAATGTGCTTTTTCCTGTTGCGGACATAACTGCAAAAGTTTTGCTGCCTGCTCCCCTTCTCCCCAAAGGAGTGACGCATTTTCCAATGCAAATGAAATTATGTAGCCAGCGGCAAATGGGTAGCAGGCAAAAAACAAAAAACAAAGGACAAGGAAAATATGCGAGTTGCTCAAATGCCAAATGTTGTGTTGCTAGTTGTTTGTCTGCAAGTTGCCGCTGTAAATCTTCAATAAATGTGAGTTGCGAATGGGAAGCTACATTATATGCAAACGAAAAGGGCGGGAATTCTCGTCCTGCGTCGTCCTTGTCCTTGTCGTCTGCTGATATGCGATACTTTCCATACAAAATAACTCTTCTCGTCTGCTTATTTCTCCCTTTCGTGCAGCTTGTCTTCTTTCGCCAGCGGTGTTTTGTTCGCAAAAGTGTCTCATGTTGTTTTTGTCCCAGGGATTCCTTTCTGGGCGACTGTAATTGTAGAGCGATTCGGTTACTTCCTGGAAACCTGCTTCTTGTGCCCCACAAAAAAGCGATAAGAATCCCTGCCTGAATATGATTTGGTGATTATCAGATGGGCGCAAACCCGTTTGGGTTCTCTGTGATTTATGTACGCTCATTAGGATAGAAAAAAACCTGTTCTTTACATATTTATACCTATAAAATAAGCATATTTAAACAGTAAATCAGTTGACCGAGACAGGTTGTCCTTGTCAACGGGTCAAATTAAATTCAGATGGCCAATTTAATGGACAATCTTCGTGCTGCACTATAATTCAATTCAAGTGGTAACCATGGCTGGAACTAATTATTTCACTCCAGCGAACACAAATGCTTTCTAATTGACTTACGAACGTCTTGTGTGCAGGATGCGTAACTATAACTCCATAAAGGACAAGATCATTATGGCAGGCAAGTAATCAACAATGGTCAATGGCCAAATTAGTGGCCCCCGGGCGATGTCTGATGTTCGACAAATGCATTATGACAAACTTTTATTGGCTGTGTGTGCGTGTGAGTGTGTGGGGGGGGGAGGAAACGGAAACAGTAACTGAAACACAGGAAGTCTCTCTCACACACAAGAAGCAGTAGCAGTAGTAAGTTGGATCCTTGGCTCCGTCTGCTTTTATTTACAGGCGAACATTTGCACGAGGTAAATGCCTGGCGGATTGGCAAAGCGAAAACCCAGACAACACGCACACAGTTGACAAGTGCAAATGTTTGGCAGCTGGCTGTTTGTGTGTGTTACCATGGCCAGAAGGCAAATGTCTGACAAATCTGTTGCATTATGGAACAGCAGCCATATGCTGAGATCCTGCCCCCTCGCCTATCGATTTGTCGACACGTCCTTGCCCCCAGGATTTCCTCCCTAATTAAATGCCCAAA